ATGAGGTAAAAATATCGTTGCATTATAAATCGCCACAAAATTTTTTCTAAATTGTAGTTATATTGTAATAACATCGTAACAACATCGTCAAAAATTTACAAGTTTCTGTAAAGAAGTATTTACCTTCAGACTTTATATAGCTGAAATTATTTGATCAATTACGACAACAAAAGCAAATACCAAGCCAGGGATAAAATTTACCAAATTTAGATTGATTGTTTTCGTACTATTTTAGAAGCTAGAAAATACTGTGAATATTCGAATACTCGATTAGTTTAGAACAATAATAATAATATTCCGAATTAATTGAGTATTTGGACATTCATGGTATTTACAAAAAATTAGTTCACTATTTTCAACCATTCGAAAACAGTGATAAATATAAATAGTAAGAAATTCTTTTTTTTTCTCTTTTTGTTTTAAAAAAAAAGGCCAAGTTATTTCTTCCCGATCTGCAAGACATCATTAACCAACTACAAAACTTTTATTGACAAACCAGATCCGCCAATTCTCTTGCTCAGAGAAAAATGGCCAAAACCAAAAAGCCTGCCGTCAACTCTCTTTCACCTCCCAAAAAAGCTGCCATCAACTCTCTTTCACCTCCCAAAAAAGCTGCCGTCAACTCTCTTTCACCTCCCAAAAAAGCTGCAGTCAACTCTCCTTCACTTCCCAAAAAAGCTGTAGTCAACTCTCTTTCACCTCCCAAAAAAGCTGTAGTCAACTCTCTTTCACCTCTAAGTTCAGACAGGAAAATAATCAAAACTAAAAAAGCTACAAAAAAACATAAGCCAACTCCAACATCTGTTGGATCCGTCAATTCCCTTTCACCAAAACTAACACCAACTACTGTTGCACAAACCAGATCCATCTCGCATCTAAGCCTAAGTTCAGACGAAGAACATGATATTTCTTCTCGATCTGCAACTTCTATTGCACAAACCAAATCCGTTGGCATTTCTTTTCAACCTGCCAGATATCAACCAACTTCATCAACTTCTTTTACACAAACTAGATCCGTTAATTCTCTTTCACCTCTAAGCTCAGGCAGGGAGCATGGTATTTACTCTAAGTTTTTTTTTTAAAAAAAAAATTCCGGATAGTATGTATATTATTTTTCAGACTAAAACTATTTGTAATAATATTTTATTTTTAGAAAATCAGCAAAGTTGGAGGAATATCGACGAAATTCTTGCAGTTCAAAGACAGCAAGAACACTCTATTTCGACTATGGAAAATGCTTTAAATAATATATTAGCTTCATTAGAATCTTTAAATAGTAAAATTGACTCATTAAGTCGGGCTAGAAGTCAGAGAGGATTAGAAGTTGGTGAAACCTCAGCAGCTGCGCAACAAAGACCACAATTTAAAAATGAAAGAAAACGAAAAAATGCACTTCGAGTATATTATTAATATTAATAATAATTATCAAAAATCTATAAATTAATCTAATCTATAATT